TCATGTCCAAGACCGACATGGACGGCAGCGTATTCTCAATGTTATCTCCAACATAGCTATTGATTTAATCTCCACACAGTGATGGACGAAATCTCAAGACAGAAATAGATGAAATAAAAAATGGCTCTACAATGTACTTCCTTATGTACTATCGAGCACGGGGTTCTTGTATTCTTCATATTTACTCTATTTGACCAGTATCACAAAAGAAGCGGAAGATGTCTCTTTGAAGTCACGGAATCCTTCCTAATCAGACAGGTCATTAAAAACACGAAGAAATGCTCCCATTGCAAACAGAAAGCTGAGAGGGTTCTTTGGCAATTGATCAGATTCACTTAGCATCAAAACTGCAGTCTCACCGAGACAACAAAGCCGTTTCAGGGCTGTCTGTTATCACTAAGAGGATAGAGAAAACGGAGCTCGTGATCCTGGAATTGCAAATAATTACACTAGGTGAAAAGATAAATTTGGATAAAAATAACTATTTTACAAATGTGATTCTGACATGAAATTTGTTTTGTTAAACATTGTGAATATTTGCTTAGAAGGCAAATAACTGATGCATTTGTCTTGAGAATAGTCAGGGCGATTATGCATTTACTCTTGCGTCAAGTATGGACAAATATGTCATCGTTAACACTGGACATATTTCGACTTTGACTCGTTCAAATCCAGACAAAAATCGTATAAGACAATATTTCAGTGAGAGAATGTAGAACAAATGTAACATAATTCGCTCTGACGAAGGGCTAACGATCGGAACGCGGTCAGCTTTAAAACTCTTTACGGAACCAACAGTTGCTTTAAAAACCTACCCCCTCTTCTCAAATCATAATTTATCTATTACATAAAGCACTGATTCAAGTCAAGAAATCCTGCTCATTTTCGTAATTTACCGTTTAGTTCTGATTGGTAGAGCATCGGACCGGAAAATCCGAGGGTCTCTGGCTTGATTCTTTGTAGTGGGATACAGAGTATTAAGTGTTATCGATGATCTCAGTGATCATACTTATAGAGATAACTTCATGGAAAATGCGCGCGTACGATTTTTATTCACGAGTTGTGTAGTATCAGAAAACGAACGAGTGAGCGCAGCGAACGAGTGAGTTTTCTGATACTACACAAAGTGAGTTTTCTGATACGTATAACATATTACCGAACAAGTCAAATTGTGAAGCTTAGGGAACTTTGTAAATAAAACTGATCACCTTGGCATCCAAGGGTTTTTTTCTCGCGTTTTCGTATCCAGTGCAGTTCAAAGGAAACTGAACTGGACATTGGGAAATAAACAATACTACTCCCACGCTGTCCAGAATTTATGAATAGAATTTAAAATTGGAAATTAGTGGATGCTATTTGCATTCACAGATAGGAAAGGGCGTGGGGTATTTCTAAAAGTAACTTCAATTACACAAACAGTCTTGCTGCTATTAATAACTCATCAGTCTTCCTCTTTTGGTTAACGGGTCAGAAATGAAAATTAACTTCACTGTTATAGAAGGGAAATTCTCTGGGAGTGTTATTTATGTTTGTTCATCGACTTACTTATTTTTATTTTTTTTAATTGAATTGACAATGTAGAATATAGAATGGACTATTTTATATTTAGGAAGACACCTCTGATTCTCTCTGAGAGAACAGATTTAAGTTTGTTGGAGGATTTCAACAAATGATGAAGTCCCAATACGGAAATATTTTCATGTGTAAGTTATTTTGTAATTCGGATATCGCCCAGATTCGGCTTATGTGATTAACAGGACGTGCGTAATTTGGAAATTCATATGCTTCCTTCAGTCTTCAACTGTCAAGCGAAGTCTAGCATTCGTGCCACTCAAAGCGGTAGCCAAACCAAAAATTAATTTCCTTCAGTTTCCTTTCCAGAGCTAAGTTTTCAACTCAAGGTTAACTTGCGTGTAGAAAAATCAAATTCTATTGAAATTCTCTTTTATTTCCTGTAATGGCTTAAGCTTGCGATATGACTGTACCTTCCTGAAATGATTCGTACCCATTATTTTGTTTAAAAAGGTGTTATTTAAAGATTGATCTCTACATGTTACTACATATCAAGATAACAAATCATTGTCTATAACCTCATTGATCATAGAAATAACGTCACCAATATTCGATACTAAAGTGAATCCACGAGCATTGAAATTCTATTGCCAGCCAAGTAAGGAAAACCCAGTGTTACCAAATTTTGTAATTTCAAGAGATTACAATCTCTTGGTAATTTTTATGACCGGTAACCTTCTATTTCATACGTACCAAGATTTACACATGGAAAAAGAGCCTGCGCACGTGGTACACAACCAACCAATCAGAAAAGCAAACGACGGTGAAAATGCATCGTTCGTGCAATCAGTCACTCGAACGATATTATTCTTCAAAATGGAGGGCAACAAGCGCTCGCCTTTCCGTAAAAACAAAAGGAAAGAAGAAGTTCCAAGTTTTGCTTTCCTTGAAGGAACCATAGATTACGTCATTTTGGCGGTGTTTATAATAAAATTTGCTCTTGCAATTAAACGGCATCCAATCTTTGAAATGTGTTGGTCGGAAAGAAAAAATCTCATTATGTGTGAAATGAAAACATTATATCATGTAAAGTGCGCCCGAACGATTTTTATTCACTCGTTACCATGCATCAAAAAACTCTTTTTTTATGCACCGCGACTCGTGAATAAAAATCGTTCGTGCGTACTTTCCATGGAGTAATCTCTATCCACTGAATGATAATAGGCTGAATTACGCACACATTTTGATGGATTCTTACTCATAATCTATTGAAGGATAGACGGCTAGATGACGTCGCCATTTACATTTTTTGCTTCTCTATCATGAAAGAACAAATAGACTCCATGTTTCCTTGGGTCTGGTCAGTAATGGAACCAAATGTGAATCTTGACGTCATCAATGATTAATAGGGACCTTAAGCCGAGAGTCAGGACGGCAACGCTAGGGAAGACCTCGATTAAAAAATAAATTTCTGCCTTTAATTAGAATTTAAAAAATGGCTGCATGTGTTTACCGTCTCATACAGCGCCACACCTCAACTTCAGCATAACGTATAAAAGAAGCGTTGAGCTCCAACTGGAAATCACAAAAATTTGCCGTCGCGGTTTCGGTTCGCAGATGACGCAAATTGTGGTGATTTCACGTTGTTGTTTTGCATAGGACGGCTAAGAAATGTACAAAGTTTTAAAACGCACTTGCTGAGCTATTGTTCTGCCAATTAGATCTTTTGTTTTTCCACGTCCTTGTTGCCGTCGCCGTCGTGGTTTGCTTAAGGTCCCTAATTACTGTACAGGCGCACGGCAACATGGGATATATTTGTAAAATTGACAAAAGCTCTCGATCTATGAGCGCGCACGAGAATTGTTACAGCTATTGTGAACAGAACTTTAAGGAATAGACTTCACTTCAACTTTAGTTAACACGCAAACAACTGGTAAGGAAAGGACTTTATTTTGTGTGGTTCTGTGACTACACAAAGAACTTCATTTGGTCTTTCACGAAAAAATGCTCAGGCCATGATGGTTTTGCGCATTTTTGTCGCTCAAAGTAGTTTAAAAAAATTATTTAAAAAGGAAACGTCTACAGTGTTAATTAAATCATTAAAGAAAATAAAGTTTGACAGACGTTCTCGGACGAATCTCTCCAGAGCATTACGTCTTGATTAAATCGCTCCTCATAAATCGCATATTCAAAATTCATATTTCTTTAAGTTTAATGTCACTCGTTCTTATAATTTCACATCGAAATCACCAACCGCGGATTCAAGCTCAGGAACCTCAGGGATCAAACAAGAATGCTACCGGAAGTTCAACTACAGCCCACTTCCAAACCACTTCCCCTGTTCTGACATCACATTTCTGTACCAGGCCCCTATGAGAGTACCTCACTGCACGGCAGAAGTGCTTACAATTAGGACACACGGCCTTGGTCAGGAATCGAGGAAAACGATTTGGGTTGTCATCTTGTGCCCAGCTCCAGGGGCACTTTGAGTATCCTTGCAGCCGCAAGGTGACTTCACGAGTACTCCGCCTTGGAATCCCAACGGACGGCTGCGGTGAAGCTGAAGGTTTCTCGACAAACATGAAATTTCGGCGTAGACGTTTCAGGATCTTTTGAGAAGTAAGAGGAACTTTCGCACATGAAGGAACTTGAAGAGAGGATGGAATTATGCCAAATAGGAAAAGTGCCACAAAAAGCTGTTGTAAAATAAAAATGTTCAACAAATGATGAGCTTTTTGTTTCCAAATTCACACTCACTGATAGGTTCTTAGATTAACTTTTTAGAGTCATGCAGTTACTTAAATTGGTTCACGAAGAAGAAACACCGTGCTTAGCTGAGAACAGCTTTTAGTTTTTTCGGCTGCTCATTTTTAAGGTGCAGGCCGGAAGCTCGATTAACTGATTTTCGTTTTTGCTTGTTCTCCTCAGTTCATGAAGAATTCAATCTTAAACATCTCACTGTTTTATCTGTCCAAAGCTCAGTAATTTACACATTTTCCCTTTTTTCCGGATTCGTTTTCCCTTTGAGTGGGGAGGAGGACGGGGGACTTTCCCTTAAGAAATTCCACATCTAGCGTTAAAATTATCTGATTACGGTATCTTGGTCCACTTGAAATCGTAGGTAAGGCATGTACATTGGCTGCAGTGCTCTGCATGCACAATATACTGACAAATTTTCAAGACCTCATTCTAACTATTCTGACTGAATATGCTCGAATCTGATCCCACGAGGCGCTATATTTCGTCTTGAACACTGTAAAAGGGAACTGAAAGGCTTTGCTACCAATGTTATACAAGTCAAGGTTTGGAATGCCAAACTTCCCCTAAAAGACGCCCACGACCCTCTCCCCCCAGAATCGTTCACTTTTTGCCTTTTAATGACTCTTAATCGAAAGGTTTTAAACAGTCGAGCTTATACATGATAGGATCTAGTGCAACAGATGTAACAGCGCTGGTACATCTTTGGGACATAAATCAGTTATGAATGACTGAATAACTTGGGACACAAATCACTTACTAAATGCAAAAAAAAAAAAACAAAAAAAATCAAATAATATCTGCGACAATAAAAAAGGCTGAGTGAAAAAAAATAAAATTACTTACCTCTTGCAATCGTGAACCCATGTCTCTCCAAAATCTTCACAGTTGACTCTGCCTGCGTCTAGGAGTGAGGCCAAATGTTGTTTGATATACTGTCACTCGTTTAATAAACAACACAAAAGCCAAGCCTCTTTTATACCATCAATTTGTGCTTACCTTTACAGTAAATTTTTTGGGTCCATTTCAAGAAACCTTTCACTTTCACACCTATATCTTGGGAATGTTCCATTGCAACAGTATCCATAAAGGAAATTTTGGTAAAATAAAAGGATAACAAAACTACTAAACAGGTATTATACACACAAAAAAAGATCACTTTGGTTGAAAATAAGATTCTCCGTGGTTTTACTTCAGTCTCATTAGATCGGAAATTTAATTAATCCCTTCTGTAGGGCTAAGGAAATCTTATTATCCACTAAGTATTTTCTTAATATAAAAATGGGTTGAGTTTTGTTTGGAAATTTTAAAAGCCGATGGCCGCGCATGGATACATAGTTTCAGCAACAGTGCCATCAAATGGAAAACAACAGGAAGTGCGCATTTTGGTCAAACATATTTCAACTAGATGACGCAAACAAACTACCGCATCCTTTATCTTCGGCTGACAAGCAAGTCCGACTTTTCTCTCGAATTCAGCGCTAGCTGAGAGGTACAAGTTTATGTGCTGTTCACTGTTGTGTTGGAAAACCTTTTCGATCCAATCCTTTTGAGTAATGAGTGAATTAATACGGATAAACTTAACATTTTGTTCATTAACAGATTCAGTCTCATTGTTTGCGCTTCTTGACAAAGTGATTATCGTGAAAACGGAACAGAGAAAGAAAACACTTAATTAACACAAGGAATTTAATGAAGCTTTAAACAAATAACTTCCTACTACGACACAGTGAAATAACTGAACAAGCCTCTCCGGACTTAGGTAATTTCCTTTGGTTGTATCCTTCACCTTCGTTATCATCTCGAGGCTAGTATTTTAACTGTTCCATCCCGTTCTAATCTCATTATATTAAGTCAAGGCGTTTCCCTAAATTCCGAGAACTTCATCTTACTGTCAAGCTCTTCTTCCGAAACCAGTAAGCTTATTCTCTTAACTATTAGAATTAGATTTCTGAACGGTGAAATAACTGTTTTTAACTCGTCTTACTTTTCTCCTTTTCATTGCCTATATTTCAAAACAATTTGCGTTGTTATATATAATGTTATCAACCATATAACACCATCAAACGTTTCTGAATTAATCATTTGTTCTCCAGAAAAACACCACTATAACGCAATGTCCTCTTCGGTGGGCAATTTTTTTTTCTTAAGTGTTCGAGAACGGACCATACAATAAATTCATTTTTTAGAATTTGTGCAAATATCCGGAATAGTATTCTTATCAGCCACTGTTACCAAATTACAAATTTTGAAGAGGTAATAGATCATTAGCATTTTACTTCTAGAGGATAATCATGTTGACGAATATACTTTAATTGACATCCTTAGTAAATCATAACTTTTTCAAATTAATTTTTTTTCATTTCTGTACATTGTTGGCTGTGTTTTCTATTTTATCCATTTCAAATTTATTACACTATTTGATATTCGTGTATGTGCTCTTTTAAAGCTTTAACCTTGTAATGTAATTTTTTAAAATTATTTTAGCTACTATGTTATTTTGCGGTTAGGGAATAGTGTATCCGTTATGTCGTTCACGTGGTTATAAGTTTGAACTTGACCTTATCCATGGATACATCTCAGATGATGTGTAAATATTTTATAATTGAAGGGGAAATTTTGGTGACTTAACTCTCTTGGGTGTCAAAGAAAAGAAGGGTATAATAATCTTAAGGTCAGTTAACTTGAAAGCTCTCCTAAATAAGTACTTTGGATCTAAAACGGATACATTAGTTGTTCGTTGCAGTCCCTGACACAAAACAACTGTTTTAATAAAGTGAAAACAACTTAACGCGTGAAATAAGCATTTTGGCAGGGTATTTCGCTTTCTGGGCGACTCAAATTGTCGTTTCTTACCTCCTTTGAGGAAATAACGTCATTGTTAATGCTTCTTGAAGACTATCTCAGTGATAATCATCTCAACCCTCAGAAATAATCACGTTTAGAGTCTAAACTTCTCGCCAAGGTCAATCAGGTCGCAAAGAGGGAGTTATCCCGCGTATAACGAAACGTTTCTTCTCTAAATAGCTGGAGGGGCGCACGCAAGTAAAACTGTGAAAAATGTGAAAAATTGATCTAAGGAGCGGGATTACAATTATTGAAATAGAAAAGTATCTAAGTTGTGTGTGAAATCGTATAACTGAAGGGTGAAGGATGTTTGACATCTCTTGTTACATTCGTTGAAGCAAGGTCATTTTAGACCAAAACTGTTTCATTTCCAAGTCATGTAGAGTTTTCTGTTGTTAATTATTATGGTATCACACTACAAACTATAACGATCTGAGGTTTTATATCTATCAACAAAGAAGTAGAGGCGATCAGGGCTTTTTGTGAATCTGTTGTGGGAATCTGTAAGGCCCCGGTTGTTCAACTTGAAGGGTGGATAACGCTATACACTGAATAACTCAGCTCTATCCAGTGGATACTGCAGTACGTTTTGCTAACTGGATAGCGATTCATCCGTTGGATAGTTTTATCCGCCTTTTATACAACTGGGCCCAGTTGTGTCAATCAATCAGGTTGTATATAGCTAATTTTTCGCATTAAACGGTTATTTTTGCCAAGAACGGAACTGCAGTTGCCTTGGGAATAATAGCCTCATGCATTGATAAATCGGAGTTTGTTTCAAGGCTCTGGCCTAAATCACGTGCTCTAGCTCTAGCTCAGAGACTGAGAAAATTAGTTAGACATTGTACAATCAAATAAAATTTTCTGACATCTCACTTTGTGTAACAATTGTTTTGCCTGTGTCGTATCGCAGTTTCAAGTGTTTATTTTTTACCTCTAATTTTCACGGAAGAGCAACCGATACATGGAAGCTGAAGATAAAAATAATCTTTACGTGACTTTGTCCACCTATAGAAGAATACGTGACAGTAGATCTGAAAGTAAATGCTCACGGACGAATACTTCTGGCATCAGGGTTCGTGAGTATCTACTTTCGATCGTCGTCCTCGTATTTACAAAAAATTCTCAGGCATTGGATCTTTGTAACTCTATTTTCTTTAGAGGCTTTTCAGCCATCTTGGACTTTAATACATTGAAGTATTATTCAGTTCATCATTTAATAAGTCTAACCTCCCCTCCAACTG